TCTCACTCATCTCCGCCCCTTGATTTGGATGCATTCTATCCAGAACACCGTTGCACTTTCACATGCGGTAAATGTACGCTTTGCATTTCTTCATTTTTTATGTCTTCAATTTAGAAAAATCACGTTTTATTTGAAACATTTGAATGTGATTCGCGTCCCACAAATCGAACGGTAACCGTTGAATGCGACATAAGACGCATCAGTCAACATGATATGAAACTGTATATGAGAGTGAATTTCAGCGAGCCAATCTACAATATTTGGTAATCATTAGAATGGAAATGGGGTCTTCTTTGTTTAATCGATAGTTTGGCGTTTTATTGGGATCCATGGTGTATTCTATTACAAATACAATGTGTATTTCTATCAAAAGTTTCCGATCGACCTGTGGGAAAATTCATGCTTATGGCTGTCTGGTGGATCACAAGCGTACTTCTTAAATATAGTTATAATTAACAATCACTTCTATTAAAACAAGAAAAGTGATTCATCATTAAAAACAACAACGTCTATTGTTCAAGCCCATTTAACTGGCTAACGTATTGTCAGCTCAACTGACCAGTTAGTTCAATATTGTCGGCTTAAATCGTATTAATACAATCAATGGATTATAATATAAACGATTTTCTGTTCATCACTGTAACTCTTTAATTTGATTTTTTTGTTTTGAATATTTTAATCGAGATTTAAACCAAAATAAATTGGTTAAATAGGTATTTAAATTCGCTTTATTGTTCTTTATTCGCATTGAATCATTTTGAGTTTGTTTGGTTTTGAAAATTAATTGTTGTAATGTTGTAATCGGTTTTTTAACCTCGAAGGAAAATTTAGTTTTTCATCTTGTTTGCTATTCTATCCGACAATTCCAATCATAAAATTACCTAGTTCGAGTCAATTTCTTCAAGTCTATTTATCAGTTTACAAGCACGACAAAATGAAGTCAGTGACTTTCAGAAGAGAATCAATTGGTCTCAGATCCGTTTTCTTTTGTTAATTCAACCAATCAATTAAAGACACGCCGCCGAATAGAAATTAAATGAAACAGCTTTGGATGAGATATAATGTAAATTATTTGAATGTATGATAATTCTTATTCAATTCAGTTTATGATAACAATGATTTGATAGCAGCATCGCGATGAAGAAGTTTTCTTAATGTAATTTTTTCAAAATTAAAATAAATCTTTTAAAGAATATCGGAGATTACTTTTCATAGTAAATTTCCTGTCACACACTTTGCATTGAAATTGTTTTTCGCCTGTGTGCTTTGATTGCATGTGGTATTTCAAATTGCCTTTCATGAAAAATTTGTATGGGCAGATAAAACATTCGTATCGTCGACTGTTGCATCGATCCTCATGCGATTGTTTATCAATTTCGAAAGCAAATCGAACTCCACATTTAGAACAGAAAAATGGCAATTCTTCGGTGTGAGTTCGCAAATGACGATAAAATATAATTTTGAATATAAATGTTTTTAAACAAACTGGGCATTCGAATGGCCTCTCATCATTGTGGATTGCCATGTGTCGCTTGATATTTGACAAAATATCAGTGGTGTATTTGCATACAGTGCATTCGTATTGACGTTGTTGGCATTGATCTTCGTGCTCGATTTTTTCAACTTCTTGGTTAAATCCACAACGACACTTTGGACAATGGAATGGAAATTGGGTAGCATGAACTTTCTTGTGTCTATGCAAATTATACTTTTGTGTAAAAGCCTTTGCACATATTTCGCATTCAAAAGGCTTTTCGCCTGTATGGATTCGAACATGCGCATTGAGGTGTTCTTTTTGTGATGCAACATAATCGCACATATGACATTTGTGTTTCTTCTCCTTCTTTGCAGCAGTTTTCTTTGGACGTTTTGGTTTATTTCTCTTCTTTGCTCCACTTCGTTTCTTTCCATTGGACTTACGTTCATGTTGTCTTTCGCCATTGTCCGCAATTTGTTTTGGATGGTATCGATGTTCACCACCTCGGTCATTGTCTTTGCGTTGATTTAGTCCATTACCTGGTGTCGATGAGCAGCAACTTTTCTTCGAGCATTCTTCATCTTCACTCTTTATTTCTTTCTTCGCATAATCAAGATCGCATTTCGTACACAAGGACAGTTCGCTGTCGCTTTCGCTTTCCGACTTGACGACGATATTCCCATCATTTGGCAAAGGCGATGGTGGTGGCGAGTACCGAATCAATTCAGCGACGTCTCTTTGCTCCTCTTTGACAACAACTTCTTCTTTGATTGTGACCTTTGAAGCTCTTCGCTTGCGGAATGGATTCATTTTGTCTTCTACAGCTATGCGAACAAAAAAAAAACAATCTAATTGAAGCAATCTTTATCTAAACTTTTGATCTTTATCTCAAAATCCAGTGATAAATGTCTTAAGTCGATATTACATTTTTGGTCTCATAAAATACTTATTCGAAATCTCTTTGTCCATCAAATAGATTTTTTTGCGCTGCAAGCACAATCGAGTCTATATAAGGGTCAATTGCATCATATACAGTCGAAGTTTATATTGAATATCGCCACCGACATGCTCAACACTCGAAAACAACAATGGCATTGAAACAATTGATACCTGAATATACATACTGAGGGTACTTCTACAGTAAAACCTGTCGATAGTGGTGAATCAAATCAAAAGTGGCGAGAAAAGAATTCACAATCTGGAGACTCGAGCTTTTCATTATTTGTAGTTGGAATGTTCCACTATCGAAAGGTTTTACTGTATTGCTTTCACCAAACTACCGTGATTTGTCGGAACTAACTGAGCGGGTCATGGAACATGACGTCATGGAATTTTCCATGAAAAATTGTACAGAAAAGATGCTCGATTTATGCAAACAAAAACCAAATTAATTGAATACATACATTTTTTAAACATTTTATTGAGAATGAGTAGCACAAAAATGTTATATAGCCTCTCTATCGTAATTTTGTGCTACTTTGCTTCTACTCCAGTATAAAAAAATCTATTTTTTACTTTATTTTTTTGTTTCCACACATACACACACACCCAGTGAGACCCAGTGTGTAAGAGAAAGTATTTTTCAATTGAAATTAAAACATTCAAAAACTTTTCTCTCCGATAAAGAATGACGATAATGGGAATAAGAAAATCGGAACTTACCCTTGAAGTGTTGAATATGTTTGCGAACAATCGAACACAATTACACTTACTTTTTAGATTTAGTTGGAAACGTGCTTCTTCTATCAATGATTGCCTGCGTGTGGCTTGTTTACTTTCAGTGCGCGCAATATGTCAGCACCATGAGATTAATTGCATGGCAGTAACTGATTCGCGTCGTTTATGTTGGCAATTGCGATTTTTTGAAGTTGAATCGCGTATGAAGTTGCCCGCCTTCCTGTGAAATCATAAAGGTCATTGATCAAGAGTGAATCAATTAATAATTCAAAATAAATAAACGGAATTTAATTGGTTTGAATATTTTTTTTACATTTATTTCAAACAAGATAAAGTAAATGAAGAAATGGATCGATGAGTCTTTTCAAAAAGTTTCGTTTGGAAGCTTGGATATCAAAATTTTGACACAGAAAAATGCCACGCGAAAATCCGTTCATTTCATGGACGTTTTATTTTTGTAATCTGTGATAATGATTTAAGACTGAAAAACAAACAATTTATTTATGAAATTGGAAGAGGTACAAAAATACACAATAAAAAGTATTTTTTTGATAAAACAGTGAACATTAACAACGTCTTTGTAATCGATGGATTTCGCCGATGTTTTCAACGACGTTGAGCGAATTCAATTGACAGCTTAAAATATGCCGTTTGCTCCTGTCATTGTATTAACCAATACACGTCTTGCTGAACGAGGCAGAGCACATTTTTCGTTGAGAAACAACTGTTTTTGTTTAAAAATAAGAAAAAATTCAATTTTTCGTTTGTTTCAAGCTGTAACAAGCTTTTCCATTGTGATCAATTGCACTTCTCAATAAATTATCCAATAAAATACCTTAGTTTTCTCCGTTTTGCTCATATATAACCAAAAATACGAAGGTAAGAAAGCCACTCCATTTTCCAAGAAGACAAAATAGTTTTTGTCGCAAGAATTCCACTGTCACACAAAGTGACCATATCACGCCTGATGGAAACTTGGTCTAGCTTGTTGCAGCTTTAACCTCAAGAAAAGCCAATATGCTTTTCATTTTGAATTTATTGAGTACCATTTTAAAAAACATTTTTTAATCTGTAACTTTAGATGAATATGTCATCATTGGACTGGATGGACGAAATGAACAAGATGATGGCCACATTTGATCGCCAAGCAACACAGTCATTGCGCACAATGAGAATGGCTTTTAAACTGAATGGTTTGACAATGCCGGCTGATTTCAGGAACATATTTTTGCGTGTATCGAACAATCGGTGAGTTTTGTAGCATTTTGTTTGTTCTATTTTCTGGATGGCGTGATGTCAACGAATATTTGATTGACTTTTCAGATTGATGGAAACATACGACAAATTTGAAATCTACTGTTTGGTGGAAGATGCAAACGATGTCAATGTCGCATCTCAATTTCATTTCGGTAGTAATTACACAGATCGTGTTGATTCCTTCTCAAATCCATCGGCCGAAGGTCCACGTTCATTTGACCAATTATATTCATCTATTAATCTTGGAGGAGGAAGATATGATCTACCCAGCACTGTGACATCGAATCAAGCAAGCGCCAACAATTGGGTGATTGGATCGACAGAAATTAAAAGCCCGAAGATGGGTGAACATAATTCGATCGAAATCATCGACTTAAGCGACGAAGAAAGCAATGAAAACAATGTGATTGGCATTCAAAACAATCCACAAAATGGTGTAAATAACTATGGTCCCGAGAACGATCAAAGAGATGTGCACCGGTATGAAGCCATTTCCAACGATAAGGGGAAAGGAATTGGTAATAACAAATCAAAGAGCACAATGAATCGTGGTGCCAATGGAAACCACAATTCACAATCTTCGACCACTGGTTCAAACACTCACCGCCGAAAAGATGTTTCGATACATTCACGCCCGAACAAAGTAAAACGATTCCAGTGTCAGATTTGTGAATATAGCAGTGATTATAATGGCAATTTTCAAAATCATGTGCGTACTCACACCGGTGAAAAACCTTATCGATGTGATTGTTGTCTCAAATGCTTTACACAAAGATCCCATCTAAAATTACACATGAAGGTTCATGCAATCGAGTTCGAATTTCATTGCTTCAAATGCTTCCGTGGATTTTCAACGCAAATTGATAAAGACGAACATGAAAATGTTTGCTCCAGACGCTTATACGAATGTCATATTTGCAAGAAATTTACTGATGCTCGTAAAATCAATATGATAACACATGTGCGGACACATACTGGTGATAAACCATTTCGTTGCGAAATTTGCTTGAAACAGTTTACAGTAAAGACAAGTCTGAAAAGGCATTTGGATACAGTTCACGGCTGAAAAAAACATCTTTGAATGACTTATCACAGCGATGTAAATCAAACAACAAATGAAGATTCATATACATTTCCTAATAAATGTTTTCTTCTTCAAACTTTCAACATTTTCGCTTAAACCGAGCTATTTTGAATTAATCTTTTACATGAAATTTTCCTTAGAATTAAGTCCTTTTTGCTGTAGAACACTTTAAACTTCAATAAA